CATAACAACTACACCCAATTTCAAACATGTGAGTCAAACGGTTCCTGAGTTATCGTTGACCAAAACCAAATGTTGACGGACGGACGGACGACGACCCATGGCAATAGCTCAACTTGACGATGTCAAGGTGAGCTAATCAGGGGTGCAACTTATACACGAGGCAAAAAAATGTTGTTAATGTACAAATGTTTGTATCAACTTTTCAAGGCAAAATATGGGGTGTGATTTATACACGAGTAAATATGGTAATTGTTCTTCTCCACAATCTTCTATTCTCTGCTCTCAACACTTACTGATGTAGCATTACACTCAGCCATTACAAAAGCATCAAACATATGAGGTCTATGCAGAACCATACCTTTAGGAAGGCATGGAACCTTGTATTCTGATGGTCACATATCTGCAAAGCCTCCTTTGTCTTCTCGAAGAAATTTACAAATGGCGGGTATGCTTTTAATAGTGCATCAGCCTGAAAAGTTCAAAACAAATTGATAAAGGCATTATATGAATTAAAAACACTGGCCACAGCCCAAAGGAATTTTTGGTTATGACAGAATCATATGGGGATGTTGCAGGCAAAATAGGGCAAAAGAATAATAAATGTTCTGATATACCCAAGAAAATATTACTGAATAATTGATTATTAAAAGGACAGTAGCCTCTAGGATTTTACTGCATACAACTGTACTTACTGTATAACAAATCGTCAAGAGCGTATAAAGAAGGAGAGCGTACAAAGGTAAAATGCTGAAACCATGCTGCGGTATTAGTCGAATTAATAAACTTTTCCCGTTTTATTTTGACGATCCTTTGCAGTATTATTGATTAGCTGTCTTACCTTGTTCATATAAAACAAACCGCATGTCCCTACGATGCCCCTACGCTGAGATAATGAGCGGTGAAAATCTGGTATTTTCGCCGAAAACCGATTCGAGATCAGTGTGTACTGCGTCCCTCACTCGAACTTCGAAGTGTTTCCAGTGTGTTGCTTCCGGTCGCCGCTGTGTAGCGCCATAGTGGCGCTGACTCACGTAATACTACCAGAGTTTACTATACATCCAGCGTGAGGTGGGCGTGAGGTGGGCACAGGTGGGGGTCATCACTATGGCAATCAATAACAGACGTCATTCATTGACGGAAACACGCGAGGTTTCCCGAAGTAATAACACTTCGAGTGAGGGACGCAGTACACACTGATCTCGAGTCGGTTTTTGGCGAAAATACCAGATTTTCACCGCTCATTATCTCAGCATAGGGGCATCGTAGGGACATGCGGTTTGTTTTATATGAACAAGGTAAGACAGCTAATCAATAATACTGCAAAGGATCCTCAAAATAAAACGGGAAAAGTTTATTAATTCGACTAATACTGCAGCATGGTTTCAGCATTTTACCGTTGTACGCTCTCCTTCTTTATCTGCTCTTGAAATCGTCTATACCCACGCGTATTTGTTACCAGATACTAAATTTAATTGTTATAATTAATTACACATCAACGCTACGAAATTTGAACGGCGCCATGAAACCCGCGACCGTGCTGCCACCCCGAAAAGGTTGCGTATTTGACAATTTATTTTGCACGTTACAGACCGAGGGCTAATCACAAAAGTGCAATTTCATTTATACCTAAATGCTATTTAACCAAACGATATTCATTTTAGGGCAAATTTATCCATATTATAACTGAAACTATATGTCGTCTATAAGATATTACAACCCTTTTGCTTTTAAATGAATAAATAAGAAACATCCTCGGTCTGTAGCACTTGGCTGGAAAGTGGTTTTGCGCAACTTATCAGATCGTGCGCTTTGAGTGGCGCCACCATCGTTGTAATCAAACTGTAGTCGTTAGTTTTAAAACATAAAAAAAAATTTCTAATGGTGATTGAACCATGAAACTTTTAATGTAGCGTAATTATAACCTAAATTAGCTGAAAATAACCCTAAAACCGAGAGTAAACTCTCCCTTTAAATCATGTATAACACAAGATTCAACTTCTGGATACATATAAAATTAACAGGGCACGAAATTCAGATTTTTTTTTGCACCGGCCCAGAGGGCTGGTAACAGCAATTCTTTACCAGCCCTCACAAACTTTGTTCAAAAATCAATGTCATGTTTCAAGCTTTCATTCTCGATTTCAAATTTGTAAAATGTTGATAAATTATGGCATGATATATCCTTCAGGTAAAACAGTAATGTAGGCTATTTGCTCATTAATGCTATAAATAAAAATGCAGGTACTCGCTAACACGCCTGAAACCACCGGCTCGGAGGGCCGGTGTTTTGCCAATGTTACCAGCCCTTCAAATAATTTTAGTTACTTTCACCCTTCACCACACTTTAAATTATTGATAGATTATAATTTTAACTTTAACATATGTCACTAGTTTACTAGCTACGAGAATAATCATCTCAAACTTTAAAGATACTTACATTTTGAAGGATAATGTTGCCAATGCTTTTGTTGTCATCCCATGATGCCATCTTTTCTGCCAAAGACTCCTTCATCTTTAGATGTACTTCATATATTGGGGGCAAATTTCCAAATATCAGCTTTATCTCTGTCGGAGATAACAGCGGTCCTCCTACTTGGTCTGGCTGATCTAATGGATCCTTAAACAACTGTAACATACAGAGTGATCATACAATAAATTAATACACAGTAATTTCCTTGTTACATGAACATCAGTATCAAAAAAAGATAATAGGGAAGGAGTGCGACTTCAATAAACAAGGGAAATTCGTCATTTACTAGCCTAATAATAATCTACGATTTACTATGCGTAACTCAACCAGCTCAAATCGTACACAGTACATACGCCTAACATCGTGCTAAATCGTTTCCTCGTATACACCCGCAATCCGGAGATACAGACTAAAACATACGACACGATTCTCCATTCTGTTGCCAGCAAACCGAATCCATAACCTGCCTAACTTGAAACAATAGGCAGCTACTAACGACTCTTGTGCACTCTTGTGCCCTCGGCGATGCGGTGTGGCTTGCTGGGAGATTGGACATCGACGAGCTAATCTTTGACCTATTTACAGCTGGTATGCCCCCACGCACGCACGCCCACCGCACGTTGTGTCGTACGTTTTAGTCTGTATCTCCGGATTGCGGGTGTATACGTGTAAACGATTTCGCACGATGCTAGGCGAATGTACCGTGTACGATTTGAGCTCAATTTGGTTGAGTTACGCGTAGTAAATCGTAGGTATTCTAAAGCTAGTAAATGACGAATTTCCCTTGTTTATTGAAGTCACACTCCCCTATTATTTACTTCTGATCAGTATGTATCATTTAGGCTGCTGCACTAATACAAGGCTGTAAATTACAGTTAAATTGTCAGGATTTCATATTTAGGAGATGTCAGAGCTTTCCCAGTTTGCGCCCGAATCCGAACCATGATGCCTGAAAATTGATGACTGGTGGGGCTTGCTTGGACAATTTCAACCTGCAGCTTAGCCCATGTTGCTATATATGTATGACGTGTGATCTACAAAATTCTATCCATGATCAGTTTGCATTAAATAATGCTCCTGTGAGGAAAGGCTTGCAAAGTCACACAGCTGCACTTCCTGGCTAAAGATGTTTGTCAGTGATGGTTTGTCAGAAATCGAGTTATGCCAACTATAGCTAGATAATAAAAGCCACTATATAAGAAGCACTATAATTATAAAGAAAAGCCATGTATGAGAAAAGCCAAATCATAAATCTGGTTTTCATGAACCACATCAATCTAGAGTTGTTGTTTTTATATGGCTTGATAAAATTTATGCAACCATTTACCAACCGTTTACAAGAACATATCCCTATCGTGTAAATCGAGTTCATTGTACTTAGAATCCGGTACTCTTAAAATTGTGCTTGGGCAGTAGGACAATGTTTACACACTGCTTTCCCTATCTCAGTGTTCACAGTGACATGAGCTGCACAATTGCTCAACGCCATATCAAAAAAATAAACCTTTATAATCGTCTCAAGTATGTTGACGTAGTTGGTCTCTGTTTCAAGCAGTTCCATGGTAACCTGCTGCCGCTTCGTCATCAACGGCTGCATGTGTGGGGTGCTTGGTGCTGGCTTGCTTGATGGCATTCCAACATCTGTCCCAAAAAAGTTTTCCATCACTTTACATTCATTGGAAGTCACGAGAAAGCACGAAGATGCCAATGAAAACTTTTATGTCTCTTTCTTATAACTTTATTTATATTCTATTCAGCAAGTTATGAAGCCAACACCTCTAACTAGTGACTGTCTGGATGCCCTGCTCATATGCACTAGCACATCTTAAATATCTCAAATCTCCGTCATTTTGCCATATACGTACTCAGCTTTGATGAAGCATGTCAAAACCCTTTGCGCTCAACTTCCTATATAGTCAGCAACTACCGACCTTGATCATAACCAGGGAAGATTTGAACCAGCTAACCTGCAGTGTGCTCCGGGGTTTCATCCAGAAATGAGAGGGAGCCAACGCTCATGGAAAGTCTGGCATTGTAATCTGCTGATCTTCGCTTAGTGGGAACTGGTTTCGTCGGTGAGTGTGGATCATCCGCAACAAGCTGAGCAAGATTCTCTTTCAATCGCTTGCGTTTTCTCTGTCTGCCACCAGAGACTGGTGTACCAGGAGTCATGCGCGCAGACTCCAGTGTATCAAGCAGCTTGCTTTGCTCGTAAAAGTAGAGTTCTTCCGCAGCGCATGCATCGATTTGTATGCTAGCCCAGAACCACTGCAAATAATACACGGATAACATTTAAATATAAATACAATATTACTTTGGCTTAATATTGGTCATTTGTTGTTGTTAATTGAATAATAGATTGAAACAATAACAAAAATATTAACTCTTTTGTAATTTCTCAGACCTGCATTAACGATGATTATTTACCTCTGCCCTAATAATATGCATTTTCTGTGCATAATTATCTGGAATTTCCTTCACACTTCTCTCTTCCACAACCAAGTGTGTTGCAGTCGCGCAACCAAGTGGCACAGTTTGGCCCCCGTTTGACACCAAAATCTCCTCCATGTGTTTTTGCTCCTCGTCGCTAAACCCGAGAAAGCTGACACTGCATGCAAAGAACGGAGGTACTTTATATTGCATCTGTAAAGAAAATTACCAATGGAATTAGCCCAACAATTATGGATGTCATTTTACTCTACTAAAATAGGTACCGCTGCATCTGATCTATCTACATCAACAAGTTCAAAGGGCAAAAAGAAAAATCGACAAATTACAAAAGCTTCCTCTTCCCCTTACTATTTGTGACTAATTGTGTGCCTAATACGTAATAATTTAGTAACCAATTTTTAGATGACCAGCGTTCTTGTGACCCCAGTAATTTTCCTACCCCAGTATTAGTCAATGTGTCCTGAATGTACTCATATACAGGAAAAGTGGTTTCACTCAATTCTAGGTGAGTGCTGTAGGTAGATTTCAAGCTCAAGTTCACCGAGTTTATAGCTCACGTGCACTGTATTAAATCACAGGTATATTAAGGCTAATAAATGATGGAAAATTATTAATTTCTAATAATTATGATACTGTTTTTATTCCCGTGGGCCACATTTGCTCATTTCTAGGTCTCTCTTGATAAGAAATTCTGTAGAGAATTATAACAATTGAATATTTAATCATACAGTATGAATGTTTTTATATAAATCTTACCAGATGCTCTTCTGTAGCATGACAACCAACTCTGTTTCGCTCTTCCCATGTCTTCTCAATCCACTTCTCACTCATTATTGGCTTTCCTAGACTTACAGCCACCTAAGAATCACACACTCCTATAATACACACGTTTTCAAACATCCCAATAAGAGAATGAGACCATAATAAACGTACTACAGTGTTGCTAAGTAGTAAGATAACAACCAAGTGCAGTACAATCCAGTGGAAGTGATGCAAGTGTAACTGAAATGATATGAAAGATAGCCAAATATGGAGCACTGGCCGCACATAAAGGAGAAGTGCGCGCGGCAGAGGGAAAAGAAAAGATAACATGGTGGATCCGTGCGCCATAATGCAAGCCAGCGCACGGATCCAAAGAAAAGACTAGGTGACAGAAAGTGTTCCTCCTCAGGGTGGCATGTAAGTACCGCCGCAGTATATATAGTCTATTTCACGCAGTTGTCCCAGTCCGATGCGCCTTGATGAACAGTACTAGTAGAGTCCACTAAGCATTTGCACTCGTTAACAATGTGTATTTCGGAGTAAATAAGGCTATGTGTGTTGAAATGTATATCGAATGAACAGCAGTAAATTCGGTGACATGCGGGCTGAAATATTGTCTTCCCACGACGCATTGCGCAGCACGACCTGTAGCACGATAGACTGGTACGCTGCCAGTTCGCTGCATGTCTATGGAGCTTGTGATAAAGGCTTGGAAACATTCTAGGCCTATTTTCACATTTGACATGGATTCTTCTGCTCACTCAAGATAGATGAAATAGTTCTATTTGTATTTTCATTTTCACAATAAGTGCACGAAATTTAACGAAGTACAGCTTGTGATCTTCTATTTACATACCATATCGGATAAACACAAAAGTTTGCTTCAAACTGTTCGATTACCAAACTTAACCACTTTTCGAGCGATCGACATAAATAGTAGAATTTGTATTGAGCAGTGATCGCCGTCTCGGTGTAAGTAGTCCGCTTCGCGGACGGGTAACGTCTAGTAATATAGGCTAAAGCTGGTAATGAAAAATATGGCAATCCAGCCCATGTGTTTTATTCTGTTATTCTTTTATAAACGTTCATCCACGAGCTGCCATTGGCCCGATAAAGTGGATCACAGTAACTGAGTCAGGCGTATGCAGACAGTATGTTGGTATCCTTTTGGATACGCTCTTATCTATAAATAGATGGGACACAAGCCAGTTTCATTTTACAATAACCTCGATGAGGTCTTATAGTTATATATGAATGTAAACGAGTTGCGTCCTTTATTTTTATTATCATATTTGACGCTATATGGGTAATGCAGCACTTACTCTGTATTTCTCGCCACTAGTAGAATTTGAAACAAGGTGGGTGACACGTTGCGTAAAGTCCTTGCGAATGCTTCCACCCATGTGATGTATTAAAGTCACAAGCTTTGTCTGTAAGGTATAATGCACATTTTACTTACACTTACAGGCATGGGAAGTTTAAAAATGCAAAAATTCTTCCCCTATTCTCCCACTGCCACGACTGCTTAATTGCTCGTCCTATGGAAGGGGGTAGTGGGACTCAAAACCCACATGAAAATGGTGGATTATGAATCATTTTTAGGTATCAAAAAGATCACGATAATAGATGAATGTAAACTTATAGTTACTATACTTTATAACATAAACATAAAAATAGTACTAATATTAACAGGAGAATCCATAATGAACTTTTTATACTTTTACTTTGGAAATGCTACTGAAGTTCAACATACACACACTGCCCGTGCACGTGCGCAAGCCCATTTACTATTTCCAAGAATTCACACGGACTACTGCTGCAGCAAATTGGGAGCTGGATAATCAAACAGAATGTGTTTGCTTTTGCTTACCTCACTCGCTTTAATGTAGAATTCTGCATTTTACACTGTATATACCGCCTCCAAATTCTCTATAGCTCTGCAGCATCCTTATAGTATTATTAAGAGTAATATACTTGAAAATCAAAATCCCAGATATCTATGGATTTACAGAAGCCTCCCATGCTATACTACTAAACTACTACACTACATACCAAATCTTCCTTCTTCCTAAAACCAGTGAAACACACAACTAGTCCTGACATCGCTAAGCAGTATAGTGGGCGTGTGTTGTACGGTAATTCCTAGAAAATGGTAATAAAATTCATAATCAATATAATTTTTCGATAATAAACAAATGATATATTATACACCAAGCCACAGAAATGTCAAAATCATCGACTACCACGATAACACCTTCTTTCAATACGCATATATATATATATATATATATATATATATATATACATAAATGTATAATATCAGGATTGATCCCTATTGTAAAGTGAATCCCTTTTTTCATTATTTGAGCTATGTGCATATTTTCTCATTATATATTCATCTGAAAAGTCACCTGTGGGACTCTAAACGACAGGCTACATAGCTGCAGAAAAAAACCTTGGGTCCTAAAGTTTTATAAAGTTAGTGCTGTAGTAAGGTAGCACTTTGCAATGATCTACTGCCACCACCCAAAATAGCATGATATACTATCTGCAAAACATGCACCATAATTTCACATCAATTAAAGCCGCACTATGCGCATCCAAATGCTAATTTGTCCAGTACTAGACTAGCAAATACTTCGTGTCATGCATAATCACACTACCTTATGACACAATAAAAATTAGTTCCTCCCATTTCACTGCGCGTTGTCTTATAAAAGGCATTTGAAAATACCTCCAATGTTGTTCTAATTCTCCGATGTTGTTGACACTTTCGCGTTGCTCTGCCAAGCAACCGTGGAGCGGTGCTGCGGTACAGCGGTACGGGTGTAGCAAAGATAAAAACGTGTGACGTCACCTAACCGATTCTTGGCGAAATTGTTTGACAAACAATTTAGCGTTGGCGCCAGATTACCAGATTTCGCACCTCTTTCTTGTGGATTTTAAAGCGATCATTGCGAGTTGTTTTCAGCGTTTTTTAGTGTTTATTCTCACTCCCATGATGCCTACCGTTGTTGCTTGAGTAACAGTAATTGTTTGAAATAACAATAAAATGTCTTAGAACCGCATGCAAAGACAAAATCATGCACGATTACAATTTTGCGTTCTCTTGTTGATTTTCGCTGTCATGTCTCGCACTTTCTCGCGGTACCGCGAGACGTCAACAAGGGTACAGTAATGCAATAATCGCACCGGAGATATTTTTGGTCAGATGTAAACACAGAGGTGCATAGTAGCGTAACACAAACAAGAGTGTAAGTTGTAACCTCATAAATATTAGTCTTCAAAAGTGCCAAGGACTATAACGAAGATGGAGAGAGAAGTGGATCAAATCCTCGTTGCGTACCGCCAGCGAGAATACTTATCACACACAAATAGATGCCCCTTTGTTTTAATTATGTTCGCTTGTTTGAGACGCCATTTGTGATTTCTGAAAGTCCTGACTCAAAAAAATGTATTGCTGGTATGATGTGGTCAAATCAATTTTTCTATGCTATAACTGCATAAAATATTGGTGTTTTGAATGTTGGTGTAATCAGTGATATTTCCGCTGTCAGGTGAGACTATATTCAGCTATATTTAGTTTTTCTGAGCAAAATTCTCGCAATGATCATTTTAAGCAAACGCGCACTGAAATAGGAGGAACTAGAGTTTATTTTGCCATAAGGTAGTGTGATTATGCATGACACAAAGTATTTGCTAGTCTAGTACTGGAGAAATTAGCGTTTGGATGCGCATAGTGCGGCTTTAACAAATGAATCACAACAAATATGAAGATGTATTCATAGCTTCGCCTTTCATCTGGTAACTGTATTAACATCATTGAACTTATGCACAGATGCTAAAAACAATGCATAACTAACTTTAAAATCAACCATGAATGAGTTACATAACATATAAAGCTTTACAGCAAAAATATGCACAATACTTTGTTAAAAATAAAAGCAATACAATGAATTATAGCTTTAGTGATGTGCCCACATGTCAGACTGTCAGTCATACTCACTGAAAATATATTTTTCAGATATATCTATCTAGATTTTTTTGTATTTGTTTTGCTGATTTGGGAGGCAATTACACATACATGTACATATTTTAGCTAGTTGAAAATGTTGATTAGCGGTGCGATTAAAAGTAATATTTGTCCTGTTACCCGAAATAAGCAATACTCAACCTCATCCTTTTCAGCGCATTCCAGGAAAACATTTGGACCCATCAGTCTGTTGTTTTTTTTGTGCAGCATCTCATAGGTGTTTCCAGCAAATTCTTCCAACACAAATACAGTGTCGTAGTCCAAGTCATTAACGAACTCCTCACCCGTAACAGAGTGTAGCACAATCACAGGAAATTTCTGGGAAAATATAATATTAGTAATGGCACAAGATAAACTATGTTCCATATTCTCCATATTTTGACAGGTAGGTGGCAATAGCATACTCAAAATTGTATAAAATCGCACACAATTGAAATGCCAAGTGGCATTTATAGACAGGTGTCTAATCTATGCAGAAGACTACCACAGGTTTGATTTATATAAATACTAAATATTTAATTACTGTCAATTAATAGTAATGAACACATATCCTTCTCATGCAGCACTGTTTATGGAGACCGTTATTGAAAATTACCTTCAATGCTGAATTCAGCATGGTGTTCTCTCTGCATTTCTGACCGACAACACATATCCTTGTTTCAATGTTTTGGGAAGTATCTGTAAAAACACGACAGTGCTTATGATAAGTATTGCCACTTATTTGCCTAACGTCTGTTATTGTTCATTACGCCATCTAACGAAAGCCAATATCAGATTTCACTGTGCACATCACAATAAAAAGAGACTTGTCCAGTCAGTATTTAGGTTCTCTTATAGAGCATATTAATTGTTCAGCCATTTGTCCTACATCGGAACCTTTTCTGAACCATCAGCCTGTAGTGGCAGTTCATTCTTGTCGTCAAAGTACTGTTGCACAGGCGTTGCTATCACCATCTCTTTAAAACGGCATGTTCTCGCAGCAAAATTCATAGATATACCTACCGTGAGCTCGTCTATGTTGCAAAAAATCACTACAACTAATTTGTTTGTATTGCTACTTTTATCACATTTCTTCAGCAAACCTAAACAGTCTTACGAAACTAGTACTTTCAATGTTTACAGTGTTTACACATCCGGGACATATCCGAGCAATCACAGTTTTCATTAACAGTTCTTTTCTATGATAGAACAAGTATAATTTATTATTCGATGTTTGTTCAGTACAAAATTTTGAAATTTGTTTAAATCATATGTTAACTTTCCAGGAACTATTTGCGCTAGCGTAGGCCTACTGTTAGCATTCACAGTCACATCGCTTTATGAGTATCTGTACACCGAAACTCTGTCTGATAGAGTTTCAAAATAGCATGAAAATAGTCAACTTCGGAGCACGTTTCTGGCTCAATAAGAACATTTTGTGATGTTTGCTTACTGCAAGTATGCTCTCACAGTAGGTGTATGTAGGCTTTTTGTTGCGAGTTTTATCCATTTTTTACTGCGTCTCACTACTTGTTTACAGATATATAACCAAAACGTTCACGCTAAGAAATACTGTATGCCATTTTAACAGCCACTAAACAGCAAAAAGTGCCTATGCATCCCCATGATGCTCCAACCATACATTAGCCAAAGGAAGCAGCAGTTCTATTATTAGGAGTGGGCTATACGGAAGCCAAAATAATTTTTTTTAGTTATTTTCATTAGAACATGAAATAATAAATTTTCAGCCTAAGGTCCAAGAAAAGTGTGCAGTGCCTTCTTGTCCTTCTCGTGTCACCATATCTTATTTTTGTGGCGGGAATGGATTGGAATGAGTTTTTCTCATATCTCGTTATAAAGTTATTCTGGGGTTATTTAGGACACACAGTCATAAACATAATTAGAAAATAATAAAAGTACAATTACTATTCAAGAAATACATTATGGAGCCAAATCAAACCTTATAATTAGCATATTTCACAAAACACATCTTGGATTTCAGGGCCATTACTTAAAACAAAACACAGCTTCCTCCTAGAAAAGTGCCAGGTTCCTCAAACTGCCACAGGCACAATTTGCTGCTCGATAGTGTCCTGGATATCATCAGTGCCAGGTGGTCGCTGCCAAATTTGATCTCCAGTACCAGCGCGCATTGATCAGGTGATCCACCCGGTAGGTTCCGTCCCCATTCTCATCAATGTAAGACCTATATACCATCTTTTGTTGCCCCCCCCCCCATCCCAGATAACAGCAAGTGATTGGTTGGGCTGCAACACAGATTCTTCCTGAGAGATCCCTTCTGCCTCTTGAACAGTCGTAATGGCTCCAGGCAGTGTTCCCATTATCTCCTCCTCACACGGATACACTGCCGCCTCCTTTGCTTGGTAGTCATCCCCGAGAATCACAGTTATATATAGCCTCAACTTAGGTTCTCGATCGTCTCATTCTCAGACAGTCTGTTGACCTTGTAAAGGTTCCTGCGGTTATCTGAGTCACGTTGATGTTTGACTCGCTGCTATTGGATCTCTTGCCTCAAGGTCTTTAGCTCAGGTGGTTTCTTACTGACAAGCACCTTCAGTTCTTTGGCAGAAGTAGCAGATTATTCAGCGGTGTCTGCGCAAGTAGCTGTTTGAGGTAGGGAATGCAATCATAGACCGCACCTGCCTGGTATCCGAGTCACCGAGTGTAGTAAAACGTTTCTCTTTGTAGAGGCTAAACGACATGTGTACCCCAGCCTCCGCTAGAATCAAGTCAAACTGTTCTGCTAGTGATGTTGTCTTCCCATCTCCCTCATGTGATACGAGCTTTAGAAGAGCAGCCAGAGCAGTTTCAACAACAGCGTTATTTTGCCGAAGAAATTACCTCAACGCTGGCGCTCTCTGCACAAGCAGTTCGTGGAGGCCAATACTGTCCTTTTAATGGCAGTAAAGGTCGTGAGATTGTCTGCATCAAACTGTTCACATGTATCAGACTTACAAAGCAAGTGGTATGGCACATGCTTTGAGCCAAGTTGTTCTGCAACACCTGCCTCTATCTTGAGATTTTTGTTCGAGCATCTGTCATCAGAGCATCAATCTGCTCCCAGAGATGTACAACAGTCCAGCTGGGGTCATTAGCGGGCTACCTGCAGTCTCTTCAGGATCTCAACAATAAGTGCCACTATCTAGTCCCTATCTTCAAAAGCAAAGAAGATAACACGTAGCTCGAGATTCCGGCGGATCCGCAGCAACCTTTTTAGTTTTCTATCGGAATTATGTGGTTAAATTTGACCCCAAAATATATTTCTTGACCAGTATTTGTACTTTTATGATTTTCTAATTAACCCCCTAATAACTTTTTACATGAAGTCTCTACCCAAAACAAAACCTGAGACATGAGAAAAAGTCTAAAAATCCAAATAAGGCATGGTGACACAAAAAGGCGCTGCATTTTTTTGTTGGACCTCGGGCCAAAAATTTTGTCATTTCATGTTGAGATAGGTAAAATAGAACACCCACAAAACTCAGCCCTAAGCAAATTATGACCCATTTATAGCCCACTCCTACTATATTATTGCTGGATTCCAAGAGCGATTTGGAGGCACTGGGCTATTCCTACTTCTAAATTCTTACTTTCTTAGCTAGACACTCTGACCAAGTCTACTTCATCAGCTGTAATCCATGAGCTGAAGACCAATTTCGCATTACATGACATTCCAGAAGAGTTGGCAATGGGCTTGACCTCCCAATAAAACACTTAAATATGTGGCGTACCTTTCTGTCGGCCACCCTTGCTGAAGGGCACACCTTGCAAAATATTAGAAGGTAAAACGTCCATTTCATTCTTAAACATGTCAAAACACGTAAACTTCTGTCCTCTTTACACCGCTGAGCATAGCTCTAAGAATTTGGCCTAACCTCGCCTTCTAACTGGTTCCAAAGGCAGGGTTTCTTATGCATAAGAGGCACAGTAGCGCACCGCCGTTGTCAAATTTAACATCACCGTTGTGAACATGTTCAAATGCAGTCTAAGACATTCAAATTTTTAAATTTTGCTAGGGGAAGACACCCCTCCCCAGAACTCCCTCTTTCTCCCCGCATCCGCCTGCAGCCTCCGCATGCGTGCCTACGACACACCTTTGAATCCATCATGCGCGTTTTTCCCAAACTGGCCATTACCTCCTTTGTCTAATTTTCCCTCAGAATAAACCCTGAAAGGTCACCACTCTTCACTGTGATCCATTCCATCTCTAAGTCTAATAAGTGAGCTTTCTGTTTCCTCGCTCTTACTCGCTCCGACCTCACAGTCAGTCACATCCTTGCTTTAACAAGCAACGCAATGCCTACCAACTTAATTACTACAGCTGATAAATCACACTCGATGTTAGCATACATCAGTTCAGTTGTTCAAGCATTTTTGACGCAAAAGCTACTGGTCTGACGTATTGTTACAATTCATCACAGGTCAGCAATCAAAATTGTTTAGTGTAGGCCAACCGAATGCTAGTAATTATGCCACCATTTTGGGACATCAGAGCAAAAGCAGTTTAAGTTGATATCTACATGCTGATAAACTACTATTTTAAAAATAAAATAAATATTTGGCTATAACAAATTGAATTACCCAGCATGAGAAAAATTGGCAAGACATCAACTATTGAAGAAAGATTTAACAATTGTAACATACATGTACTGTACATACAGACATATATGCCATATTTTTCACGTACAGAGATATTTTTTTAGCGAATTCAGACTTGACGGACAATTTCGCGAGTGGTTAATTTCGCGGTCGGTGAATTATGAATTATTCGGAATTATTCAGTATGAATTATTCGCGTGTTGTTATTTTCGCGGTCTGGGACGCATTCGCGAAATTCGTGAAAATTAAACCACCGCAAAATATACAGCGTACATTCAGTATACCAACCTAGTTCTTGTTTTTCGGTAACAGTCTCTAAATCCCCATGCATCAGAGTTGATGTTGCAGTCATAGACAGACTGAATGATGAGGTTGAGCTTGCAGTTGCACCTTCCATGACTGAAAATTTATGCGATCCTATCAAGCAGAATAACATTACAGCTCTCAATTTCACTAGCAATACACTGTGCAATGGTAAAAATTTTATTTATCTCACCATCATACCTCAAAAGTGTGATCTGACAAATTTTATATCCACTGATATATAGTTCACACAGAGTAGTACTACAGTAAAACTCGCATAAGTCGTCATGGAAGTCAAAGGCCTGATTTTCTCTCATAGTAAATTCATCGGAATAGCCCCGCCTAAGTCGTCATTTATAAGCCGTCATTATGTGCAAGTCGTTGCCCGCAGACAGGTCCCATGTATTAATACAAACAACAGTAATTTCCCATCTGTAAGTCGTCATCAGAAACGCCGATGGCGCAGTGTATGCTCTAGGGGATGTGCGAGCTGGCTGTCGCAGACATGCGCATATTCGACCTATGCAGGAGTCCGTGTGACTACCTGAATATTCTGCTATACTAAAGCCTAGGACACACTGTGCGATTTTCTACGCTGGCCGCTTGCGATCGATAAATACGGTGCCGGGTCCGCGCGGTGTGTCCGGTCTCACGGCAGCGTATTTCGCACGCGATCCCATACGCCCGGCTGATCGCTCGCATTCAGCATGTTGAATATTTACGCACCCGCTTGCGTACGGCGCATGCGCTTGCACCAGCTAGCGCCAGCGCGCCCAGCAATGAATCATCGTGTTCGAACGCGATTGTTTTTAGCAGCCAATCAAGTGTAGCAACGAAAGCTAAGTATCGTTACCAATGGTTATTTGTTGGTCTGAGTGTGTCTATTCTGAAGCAAAGAGATGTAGAAGTTGATTTATAGTAAAAAAAGTTTGCTTTATTTTTATTTATGCTATGGTATGGAACGAGTTTTGACATATTCTTAAAAATGCCTTATTTTGGCGCTAAAATAGGCCAAAAATGTAAAACTGAAATTGCTTGAAATTAGTTGGTGAAATTTGAAAACTAAACCTTCCAAATGGTAATAGACATATTCCTGATACAATTATACTTTTTTTAATTGAATTTCAAATTAATTAGGCACCAAAGGTCTATTGCATGCATTTTCTTATCATGTCTATTTTAGCGCAAAAGCAGACATTTTTAAGAATATGTCAAAACTCGTTC